ATCCTCTGAATGGACATGTTCCAACTCAGGTCTAGGATCAGCTTTATGGCAAGAACAAACATTCTTGAGGGTACATAAGAATAAATTCGAATTAAAAGATGGTAGAAGGAGACTATTGAGCAAGGAACAGAGGTGATGTGATATTCAGCAGGTTCTGACCAGTTCTGGAGAACCGGTAGTGGAAATTTTGAGTAGTTCAGAGAACCGGCAAATACCACCTCTGACTGGAGATTTTACAGTATCCTTCCCATGCCATGCCCACCAAGCCATGCCCACAGAACCAGTAGTAAAAAAATTTCAATCCCACCACTGGCAAGGAATAATATTAAAGGAGGATATGGCTGAAGGAACTGACCTTCCTTATACTACTTAGAGGATTCCTATTCCTCTTTTGTTCATTTTGAAAAGATTTAGTCCAGATTTCTAAGACCCCGTGTTTCTAATGCAACTTCAAGGAGAAAGGCAGGGATTTTCAAGGTTGAAACTAGTGCATGGATGTGCATTATACACATTGGCTGAAACTACTGTTCTTTCCCAGAGGTTTGAGCTCTTTTCTAATGGGGGATAACTATAAATCAGGGGTGTCAAACTTGCATTGTCACAGTGTCATCACATGACGTATAGGAACTTTTTTCCTCTTCACTAAACCGGGTGGGGGCGGGGTTAGCACATGACACATCTTGCCTGCGGGCTGCGAGTTTGACACCCCTGCTATAAATCAACATGGATTAAAACTATTTTATTAAAACTCGAACATCTCAGCCTCTCCAAGGAGGAATTCCTAATAATGGGGTATGAGCATTCACTTAGTGCATTTAAACAATGTATTATAAAGATCAGGAAGTTCAAAAAGGCTTGTCTGCTTGACCCAAGAATGTTTTCGTGAAGAGACAGGCTCTTCCTCAGAAACCAGTTAAAGGTCACTAACCAGTGAGATGTTTATATATATAACACTCTATGAATTTTGGAACATATTAACTCTAGTTGGTTTTAGCACTCTGCCTACAGCAGTTCTGCAGGGCTGATGTAAAAAAGTCCCAAATGAACTGAAACTGTGCCCCTGCAGATAAGGACCATTGAGACTATGGCTCATATCCTGTTGTATTGCCCTCTCTATAGGGACTCACAGACTTAAAACACCTTACCTGATGAAATATCCCGGAAATTTTGATCTTTTTATGTACAACTACTATTGTCAGGTCAGCATATTCAGTTTCTCTGAGTGTAGCTTAAATTTTGTTATACTTTCTGTAAAGTTAGGCAGATCTTTGTCATCCACTGAGGATTTTACCATCAATTGTAATATACTATCCTGTTCAGTTTTGCTTTATTTTATTTTAATGTTTATTGTTTATTTTTTTGTGCTGCTCTGTAAAGTTTGATTGATTGATTCACACTTGAACTTATTTCTCAAAAATCTAGTGATTAATCAGTGACAAACATAATGAAAGGTTTCACAAGGAATTGACATAATGGAAAAAATGTATCAGGCAAGTAGAATCTATTAACGCTGACTGTTTGTTGTTGGACACTGCAGGGAGATGCATCAGACACTGAATACAAACAAAGAACCTTTTTACATCTGTTCAACTTGTGCAGTGTGTCAGAAACATTATGTGGTTAAATATATTAAAGTCATTAAAAGATATTTTCATATTTTTCAAGACTTGTATGTGATATAATATCTGAATACTATATTTGCTTTCTTTTGAACAAGTCTATCATAATCACCAAAAGTTTTTCAGGAAGCAAACTTTGAAGAAAAATTGTCCGTAGTTAGAAAGCTCAGTCTATGATTGGGAAGCCTGGCTCTCTTGTTAGATGCAAAAAGAGAGAGGGTGGAAAAAAAGTCCCAAGTGTCAGTGAAGGAAGGCACTTGGGACGTGTCTCTGTATGTCCCTGTGTTTGCTCTTGATAGACACAGTTCTATTTTTGTTTAAAGTATTTTATGGTCTCAGTTTAAGTTATTTGGGTCAGGCCCATTTCTTTGTACCTATAATGTAACTGTTCTGACCAATGGTGGGATTCAAATTTTTTTACTACCGGTTCTGCGGGCATGGCTTGGAGGAGTGACAGGGGATGCATACTGTAAAATCTCCAGTCAGAGGTGGTATTTGCCGGTTCTCCAAACTACTCAAAATTTCTGCTACCAGTTCTTCAGAACTGGTCAGAACCTGCTGAATACTGACCCAGCTCACCAAACACAACAAACCCTCTGACATGAACTTAAAAGATTCCTTTATTAGGAATGCTGGCAGCCCCGGCAAAAAGTTTCTCTTGCAAGCTAACAAGTCCGTCCATCTGGAAGATGAATAATTATCTGCCACATCTATTTATCTCTGCTCCCTGCCTTTTATCTCCAGAGCTAAGATGAGGCCTTGCTAGTAGCGGTGATTCTTCCTTCCCTAGGATCAGCCCACAGCTTCCCACTCTTCTCCCCTTCTCTAGCTTCTGTGCAGCTGCACATCAGGCATTGGTCCCAGCTATTAGCTCCTCTTCTTCATCAACCACTTCCAGACCTGAGGGCTGATGGATGGCCCAGGCTCCACCTCTCTCTCTCTCTCTCTTTCTCTCTGCCAGCTCCATTCCCTCTTCCCCCTCGGAGCTCCCAGATTGCCCTGATGCTGACTATGATTCCCACACCTCCTCCTCCGATTCAGCTGTTTTTTAAAAAAACTGGGAGAAGGGAATCTTTAAATAATGCCAGTATCTGTTAAATGAGTGACTCCCAAGTTTGGAATTAGTTTCCTTGCATAATGCCATGGATTCATTCCTTTTCATAACTGTTTTATGGTGCTATTTTGATACGGGTTTGGTTTATGGTTGATTTTTAATTTGCAGGAATCTATTGAATGTTTATTAACTTGACTAAATGATTATATTTTATGGTACTCTTTTATTCGCAGTAAAATTTAGCGACATTTGTCCTTGGTCCAGCCTTGGGATTTGTTTATAATATTACTTTTGAAGCACTCAGCCCCAGGATGCAACTCAGTTGGTTCCATCCATTAAGCACATGATCTTCGTGGCCCTGAGGGTCCTTTGCTCTCTCTGAGTGGGATGAGGGAAACTTCTTAATGCACTTGGAGTGCCATCATCAGCTGCATTCTGCTGTTTGCTTCCATCAAAATGAATAAGACACATTTCCACAATAAAGAGGTTCCATAAAACAACCCAACAAAATTGACTATCTTTAGTTTTTTTAAAAAGCTTTTCCTGTAATCTAGTTTCCATGGTAATAGGAATAAGTATATTTTTCCTACTCCAATTCTTTTGCTGATAATGTGCTTAAATGTGTTTGCCACATGCAATCCTTTTTGCCCACTACATATTTTAAGTATTTTCATGTATTTTTGTTAGTTCTTCATTTAAATAATAGTTAAAATATATTACATTGGCAAAAATAAAGGACATAATTTCAGATCATGGTCATAATACTTATATTTGAAAAAAATAATGATTTGGTGGTTTTTGAGCTCACCATATTGAAATAAAAAATATAACTACTATATATCTCAAGTGTATTTATAAATTTGAAGCATATTTCTTCCAGCAAGTAGTGGCAAACCTCAAAATAATAATCTAGCATTCAGGATTTAGTATTTTAAAATTACAAGTTGTTGGCTCAACTCAGCAGTGAATTCAGAACCAATGATTCCCACTTTGTCATTTTCAACCAACAGAAGATCATTTATTAAATTAATGATCTCCTGTACAGGTTGAAAGTAACAATATAGGAATCATTGGTTTTCATATTTGAAAAAATATCATATTTTGATACAACTGGCTCAAGGTTGACTCAGCCTTCCATCCTTCTGAAGTCAGTAAAATAAGGACCGAGATTGTTCGGGCAATATGCTGACATTGTAAACTGCTCAGAGTTCAGTAAAGCACTATGGAGCAATAAGTCTGTACTATTGCTATTACTATTGCTATATTGTTGTAGATAAGATATGTTAATGCCAGTGGTGGGATTCAATTTTTTTTACTAACGGTTTTGTGGGGGTGGCTTGGTGGCCATGCCAGGGGAAGAATACTGTAAAATCTCCAGTCAGAGGTGATATTTGCCGGTTCTCCAAACTATTCAAAATTTCTGCTACCGGTTCTCCAGAACTGGTCAGAACCTGCTGAATACCACCTCTGGTTAATGCCAGGAAAAGAGAGTTCACATTTCCATTGGCTGGAAAAGAAGAGATGTAAACACTTAGCATGCAGATCTGTACGACTTGATTTCTATGGTATGAGTTGTATATGGCTGACCATGCTGGATGTATACAGTTTTGTCTGAGATAAAACAGCTTATTTAGCTATGTTTTGCAGTGAACTTCTGCAAGTTCCTGAATATGAACTTATGTGATCAGAAAGTTGAGATTTATTACTATGCTTGATGTGAAGTCTGACACTTTTTGAAAGCTAGCATCCATAGTTGTTACCCAAGTTTTGTATGAAAAGGATAATGTTTTCCATTTTAAGTGTTAAAAGAATAGGATGCACATATGTGAACTGTTGTATCTGTTCATCTGCAGGGGAGGTTTCATGCACTCTTGGCTTCTGTACAGAATCCTACAGAGACTTGAGAATGAATCAGAATAAATTACCCATAGGCAGATTTCAAATGGGCAAACTATTTCTAGAGTTTTGAATCTAATTCTTAAATTGAATTGAGTAATGATCTACTAAACAAGTTTACCTGGTTTCTGATATGTCAATCTGAATATAGTTCTTTTTCCTTTTAGCAAACACACATGGGCCACTCTTATGCAGTGTGTACTTATCTAACAGTATTTTATGCATATACAGTTAGAATCTATTAAAAAGGACAGTGCATGATATTTCTTTTATATTTTAGGAAATTTTCAAATAATATTTTTCTGCTTGCATTTATTCTTTTCTTTTCTTTCTTTCTTTCTTTCTTTCTTTCTTTCTTTCTTTCTTTCTTT